TGAGCTAATCTGACATGACAAACTGGATTGCACCTGACTGAACTGGCAGGGTAATGTTTCACAGCAAATGATTAGGGAGCTGAATAACACTGTTATTTTGAATATACAGTTAAACACTCGGTTTCATCTGTGGCAGCGATACTTTGGATTTAAAAAAAAAATGTGAAAAAAAAACATTGATAATTGATTGGTGAAGCCGTGATGAAAGATAAAACTCACTCCAATTACAATTCACTTAGTGCTGGTTCAGCAAACACTGCACTGAGATGTACTATCTGTCTAAGTTCCGTCTTTTTAGATTAGATTTTTGCCCAGTTTGTTTATTTTTATTTTTTTACTAACTCCGCCACTAAAAATACAAAATACATCCCATACTCTGCATTTCAAAACAAGCTATTCATGAGCTAAACTTTCTTTTTATTGTCAGCAGTTTGAGTGAGCCCACGTGATATTTCTAAAGACATTGACGGGTTTAGGGATCCTAATCTGCACTGAATAGCTTTCTTGTCTTAAGCTTCCCCACATCTGACTAGTTCAGAGGGATTTGGGGGTGGATGTTGCTGCTGGGGGACGGATGCAGATGGATTGCAGTGGTTGTCTCATATGTTGCGCTTTCATGGGAGGTGACTCAGAGCCCGCACAGATCCTGCATACCTTATGTTAGATCAACAAAAAAAGAATGTGCAGCAGAGGCTTTATTGCCCGACTGTCAAGTGTAGGAATTCAGAAACGCGTCAAATGTTCAGCACCGGCTTTTGCTCAGACTGTGGCTGAGAAATCCCCTTCCTGCTTTGCTTTGACGCACACCTGCAGGGCTTAACGGCTGATTGGCAACTTAGAACATCACTGATCAGATCCTCGCCATATCAATAGAAAATTGACTGGAAGTCTGAAGTAATTAGAATTTAGATGAGTGAAACTGGAAGGCGTCACAGCGTGGTCAGCTGTCCAAAATGAGAACAATTAGGCACAGCCGTTCAATTGCTTGCTAACCCAAACAGTGGCTCAATCAATCAAATGTCAGCAACATGATGTAAAAGCAGAAGGTCACGTCTCGTCAGGCTACAGGTGGCACAGGCTATACTACCATGGACGACACAATATTGGAAAAATGTTACCTTGTCCAATGAATCAGCTGCAGGATTCAAAAGGTATAGAGTCCAAACTGGTTGTAAATAGCATAAAGGCTTAAGTCCATCTTGCCTGGTATTAACTTTTCAAACTGGCGTTATCATGGATATTTCCACGTTACCACTGACACATGCCCATCTCCATAATCTCATCTTGTGATGGCTACTTCCAGCAGGATGATGCGCTATGCTGCAAAGCTGAAATCATCTCACACTGGTTTCTTGAATGTGACAATGAGGTCACCTGTACTCTGTTGACATCCACAGTTACCAGTGAAGCACTTTTAGAATCTGCAGAGATTTGTATTGTGGATGCGCAGCAAACAAATCAGCAGCAATTATGACTATGACTCTTTTAATGGAGGCCGATTTGCAAGAAAAAATATTGACAAAAACGATGAAATGGTTGCAAAGATGCAGATCTAAAACTAGAAAAGTCCTTTTTAAATGAATGGTTGTGTTTAGATTTCTACTTAAAAAGTCACCTTTGTAAGAAAGTCTTCAATGCAAACACAAAAAGGCTGAATAGATGTTTCTGATTTATTTCAAGCATGTACATTGCAGAGAGCCAGTGTTCCTCTTTGACCAAATGACCCACATTAATGCAGTTCCCAAATCCTTCCAATAAATATAACACGCACTTGACCTCTCTCGCAGTTGCAGAGATGAATGGAGCACAGGCTAATCCTCCCCTGCGACCTCCGCGTGTTCAATGAAATATCACAAACGTCACCTTAAGGTCTAACCAATAACAACAAAACGTAATCAACACAACAACAAAAAAAGCGACCAGCAGCAGATCAACTTGATCGGTGTGCTGTGATTTGACCTGGTTTTCGTTCGTTTCGTTTTCTTGCTGGTTCGCTCGGCGGAGCGGCTCGGCTATGAATGCATTACCCTTGTCTGGTCCTGTGACACATTAACCTTGACAACACCCGCCGAAACAAAATGTTATCTGTTGACCGGGTCGCATCTCAAAGCGAAGCCCGCCCTCCCCCTCACGCACTCCTCGCTGCCTCGCCGTGAATAATTTATGTGAGACGGGTGGAGAAAGCCAATGGAGAAGCCAATCATCGGGGGCGAAGTGTACATACAGCTCTTTCATGCATATAGCTATTGATTATGTGCCACGTTAGCCAGAAGCCTGGCAATAGATTACAAACAAAATAGACAACAAGACAGACTGACTGTCCGGATATTTTAAGGGTCTGTCCAACGAGAGGAAACGGGATGGAGTTAGATTGATGGGGCAGCGTTCTCAAGCATGCGCTACACATGAACCGCAGCGATTAATGCCTAATTATGCCCGATCTACCCATGTAGGAGAAATGCAGAAATGTGGGATTGGCAGACTGACAGTCTTTTTAAATAGAGGATTTGTCTGTTACACCTTAATCCGTTAAGAAACTCTTCTGCAGCAACTGTAGCAAAGCCGATTTGGAGTCTGCAGATAACATCAGTGAGCATCAGGGAGATGGCAGCTCTCAGGGAGAGACTGCTTTGCTGATATGCAGATATTCTGTGAGTGTGTGCACACTGAGGATTACTTCTAAACTTTGAATATGGAAGAAATACTTTACCAAATCCCATTTTAATGCAGGCTCTAGGCGCATGCATTTTTTTTCCCTCATGAGTTTAAATAGTCATTTAGTACAGTTTTACTTGAACAAAATGTTTTAAGTAATGATTGCTGACTTTGAATCTGTGCCCTGCATAATAAGTACAATAGTGAGAAATAAAATGCTAATAAAGGATGAGGATTTAGTCTGCTGTGGATTCTGTTTCATCGCAGCAGCCGTATTTGCATCTTTTATTTTTGGAAAATAGGGTCCAGTCATAGGGCACAGAGAGATCCTCATGGTGTAATGCCCTTAAATAAATTGCAGTGAAACCTCTAAATACAACAATACAAGAATATGAATTTCTCCAAACGTGAATACCCAACAAAGATCACAAACAGTAAATTTGTTTTATAGCAATGGCGAGCTCACAAACAAGCTTTCTGCGTTCCGCTTTGTTTTTTCACTGGACTCCACGTGTTGCAGCTGTGTCTCCTGCGTTGCGTTTTGCCAACTTTTCCTCTGAAAGCTGTGATCTCAGCAAAGAAGGCGATGGCGGTCGAGAGGTGCTCTCTTCCAGAGCCTTCAAAGTGCAGAGCTGCTGTGTGCAGAATCACCCCAGCAAACCTTTCGTCTCTGGCAGAGTACCTCAGCAACTGTAAGCACCTTATGGCACATTCCTTGACATTTTCAGAGAGTTTCCGTGGGAGCAATTTCCTCTTAATTGCTGGAGACGGAGACACCGATGCTGCCGATGCTTCTAGAGACTGATGGGGGGGAAACCAGTGCTGGCGATATCGACATATGACGCTTCTATGTAGCTTCAATCAAGCCTAACATTATTATCTTGAGTTTTGTGCAGGATTTAATTTCCACATTCAAACTGTCGAGATACAAGATGCTTGTTTGAACAGAAAACAATTTGTGTTTTTAATATCCAACTGCGTTCACCCAGTGACTATGACGATTTCACTGAACCACGACTTCATTTTATCAAGGCATTCAAAGAATATGATATGTAATGGTATGTGACTTTTAGTTGTATATATGTATATTTCTATATATACTAAAACCTTTTAGTCTTAGTCATCATATTATCTATTTGATTTTAGTTCATAGTCAATCGTTGGAAGAATGAAATGACTCTTTTGACGTTGAGTTGATAAAGTTTTTACAATCAGAACCAATTTATATATGAACGGCACTAAATTACTACTAAAATATATATTGAAAGAGGAGGATTAAGTATTAAGTCTCACTACTTTAGTTGCAATTTAAATAGTGCGGTAAAACAGGTCATTTTTGCAGTGTCGGTTTCCGCTTCACAGTGGGACACAAGTGAGCTTTAGCTGCAGTGACACAAACAAATGTACCAACCCCAATAGAGAGATAAAAATAAATGAACAGATTTTGAATTTTTATCAGATGTATGGCACAGTGTTAACGTCTGTCTCACTTTTCCTTTAATTTGATATCATGAGGCAGCTGGCAGGCGTCCCTAAGCGGCTCTCTGCACAACTTTTTTCTGCCCAACACTTCTTTTGTTTCTTGTTTTTAAAAAAAGGTAAGTATTTTTAATGCCAGATTCCTACAATTATTTTTTAAATAAATAATTTAATTTCCTGCATGTTTGGGCTTGTGCCTGTAATATTTTGTGGTTATTTAAGACATGCATGCATGCAGTAGAAAGATACATGAGTAAATATTATTTTTAGCATCAGTGGGCCTATTATTTATATGTATTATGTGCATTTGCAATAACCTGAGCTCCAAGTAAACAAGCGGAGCCAAGTGGCACAAATAATGAAGCAATGTGGGCTAATCACGCAGCGTGTTTCGTCTGTTCCTTTCTGCTGACTAAGATATAAACTGTGAAATGTGCACAAGACGCAGGAAGCTTTGCACAACTTTTAGATATGCCTTTAAGGACAAAGTGGAACAATTTGCATTTTAACCTGAGGATTTGAAGAGTGCATTCCTCTCAACAGAGGTCATTAATATTGAAAAATCAAAAGCACTGAAGTAAAGAAGAAAATGAAAATGCTCCTTTGAATCGCTGAATGGTTTTATTTAGCCCCTACTCGAGACTTCAACTGTTTATTTCATTTGAGTAAATGATGGTGACAGCTGAGAACATTTACTCCCAGTGGTGTTTGTTAAATCATCACTTATGCTGCAGCGGAATTATTCAATAAAACCCTGGAGCAGCAGATGCTGAGTCTGATCGGAAGGTTGTGTTTAAAGAAAAGATGACAGTAAAACAAACAAGACGAAAAAAAAAACAATAGAGCTTTAAGGAATATTTTTGTACCTGGCTTCAGGAAGAAGGCTTAGGGAAAGGAAGAAGATCCACAAGTTGTGCTGCGGCGATTTAGCCTTCCACTGTAGGGCAGCCATGTTGGTTCAGAAAAGACGCTCCTTTACAGAAAAGAGAAGATGAGGAACAAATTGAAAACTGACAGAGAGCAGCAGGGGTTTAAGCATGCTAATACAACCGTACTTAACTAAACACATGCACAGGTACAATTTATGCTGTAACGCTACATTTCTTACACCCTTTACACCCTTGAATTCATGTAAATATATACTTTCTTTTATTGCCGATTTTACTAAAAGGTGATTTAGGCCCATATAATGCGTTTTCGCTTGACAGTGGTGCTAAGAAAATCATTTTCTTAATGTCTAAAGGAGCAATGTGAGATGGAGAACAATCTCCTCTAATTCAGATCGAACAGGTTGCATCTTATTTTACAAACCCCGCAGTAAAGATGAATGTGTGAATGTCTGCCTGTAATGAGACGATTGTCCTCATTGTTCTGCAATAGTCAAGTCATTTGAAGGCATTTGTTATGAAAATGTACACACAAAATACAGGGATTTCTGCTGGTGCATTTTATAAAAACAACTCGTGCGTCACTTTGCAAGACTTTTTCACATTTTGTCCTTTTTTAACAGTAAACTTTAACATGGTTTTTAAGTTTGTTTCTGCCCCCAAATTTTAATCTGAAAACTTGTGTTTGTTTATGACCAACCACCATTTACACTCATACCTCTGAACAAAATCAAATGCCACTATTTCCCTTGATGAATTTAATTTAACTTCAGCATAAATCCAGCTGTCCTGTGAAAGCCTCAGAACATTAGAGAAGAAACATCATCACAAAGACCAAGGAACACAGCAGATCAGGAAGGCATTTAAATCAAATGTAAAGCTTTGAACATGTTAAGAAGTATTTGTGACAACCGTAAAAAAATATGAAGACTATGGCAGTAAGCCACTGTTGAAAGAGAGCCACAAGTTGTCCCGTTCTTGATTAGCTACAATCATGAATCTCACAGATTTTGACCATAATTGGACTTGATTGGCGTGAAGCTTGTCGCATTCTGCAAAGCAGAATAGGCATGGATTATTTGTGCAATTGAACTGTTGCATAAAAGACCAAACAAAATACACTGGAGTAAATGTTGATTTTTCTGCAATAATGTGAATAAATATTCTACCTTTATTTGGCCTGGCTTGATTTTTCTTTTTGCTATTTTAATAACTTCAGCATAGCAAGAAGGCAGACGGATCCAAACCAATTTAGTTGTCTACAACAGCTAAATATACCAGAGTTTCTGGTTTGTGTAGCATAATACCAGTGTTAAGAGTGACGGCTGCATCCTGGGCATATTTCTGTGTGAGGCCCAATTCAGAATTCAAGGCAAAGAAAGAGCTGATGGAAATCCTTTTGTACCTGGCTTCAGGTTGTACCTGGCTGCCAGGTTTTTGTAGCGAGAAATCTTGGTCGTCCCCAAACTCCTGTTCAGCTCCTAATTCCTGTACTTCGGCAGTATCAGTGCATCCATCACGCAGCATTATGCAGGGGTGTCACTGTATATTTTTTTCCCGTTAGTATTCTACTTGCTCAGCAGGTGTTTGACAAATTGCTTCTACTGTCTGTGTTATTTGCAGATTTCGTTGCGCTTGCTTGTCCATATCTCAACCGGCTGCTCTGTGCTTGTGTGTGGGAGGAGCTGAAGCCAACACTAAGGCAATATCACACACACACACACACACACACACACACACACACACACACACACACACACACACACACACACACACACACACACACACACACACACACACACACACACACACACACACACACACATATGCACACACGCATCCACGCACACATGCATCCATGCACACACACTCTCACTCAGATTTCAAGGTGCATCTTTGACCTTTACTGCCAGGATCTCTGTTATTGGACTTCAGTATTGGTAAAATCATCATCATAACATTTTTGGTACATCAACCAGAAGTATGTAAGACATCCATGCACTGTGCTTCCCTACCAAAGATAATCATTTTTTTTGACTGATACACAGACTTCCTGATCTCACTTCTTTATGCAATGCTCATTTTTTGTTGCTTTTTACAGCTAAAAAAATCATTTTGTATGCAGTATATTTACACATATTTAGTGAAAACGTGTGAAGCTCCTTTGCCATGCATATTGTTGTTACAGCACATTGCATATTTGCACAATAATCTGAGTCCAGGACACGACTATAGCTGCAGAACATTAAAGCCCACGTCAGTCACGTCATGACACGAAAACGGAGCAACAGGAGCCTTTCTTGTCTCCCCCTCCACCTTCACTTCCTCTGTTGCACGGCGACTGCCTTTCTCACACGTGAATTATTATTAATTATTACAACAAGGTTGCAGGCCAGCAATTTACTGAAAAACTAAATGACCCCCTCATTAGAAAATAAATGGGCTCAGAAATTGCTCTACCTAATTTCGGATGCAGCTTAGAAACAATGAGGGAGTGAAGCCACAACCGACTGAGGACTGCACAAAACACACACACCCCCGCGCACATGCGTGGCAGCTGCGTCATACTTAAAAGGTTTCCATTGTGTGTTTGAGATCCAGCTCTTTTTTTTTTTCCCTCCCCGTTTTGGCCGCTGCAGAGAAAGAGGATCAAACAGTTTCCACAGGGGGATCGGTGACCCCTGTCAGTGGAGAAGTAAACAAATGAGCAGCTATGAATCCACCATTCGAGGATGTATGTAATGTTGATGCTGCGACCGGCTTCCACTTGTCACTGAACTGATGAGTGTTTATTTTAAGAGCTTTCCAAGCACCCTGTTTTGAGAAACGCCGCTTTTATGAAATCTTTGCAATGAAACTAATGGATGTGAGACAGAATAGATTATTTCTCATTAAAATATGAAAAAAGGCCCTTTACAACTTGCACATAAGAGTGTAATGAGATCTCAAAGCCCAAGATGCGTTTCTGGTGAAGTTAATATTATGGGCACCAAGATATGAAAGCATCCCTTCAATCTGATGGGTGAAGACTCTTATTTTAAAGTAAGAAAGGAAGATGTTTATGAGCTGCCCTGTTGTGTTGAGAGAGTGAACTCATAAAAAAAAATTGACAAGACTTAGATTCTTTGAAGAAACCTTCACTGCTTTTAAATTGTCCTCCATTTTCTGAAGCTGGTAGGAAAAAGAAATGACATGTGATGTGAATGATTCAGAAAAACTGTAAGAAAATGACTTGCTAAGTGCTACCAACGCAAAAGTTAGAATTGGTTTTAAAGGTTTTTATCAATGCGAAGCTAAAGGTCTATTTCACATAGGACGGCATTTGATCATCTTTGGGTCAGCATCTAAAAATATTAAAAGTGTTTTATGAATTTTTTTTTGTGGCATTTGAAAGCTGCATATACCATTACATCTCTACTCATGAAATACATAAATTAGCTGTAGTGACCAAAACAGATTTGCAAAATCACTAAATTTTTTAAAAAAATGTTTCACTACTGTTTCAGTTTCCTTAGGTCTTAAGGTATGGATGCCAAATGTCAAATTTTTTAAACAATGTCTCCACTGGAGTTGATCATTTTTGACCTCCAATCACCATAATCCAAATGTAGAGACAAAGTCATTTCAAAATGCTACATGCAAGTGAACTGCTGTACCACACACGTATAGTGTGTGGTACAGCTAACCACACACTATACGTACTGCTATTCGTACTGCTAACCTTAACCAAGCTGTGTCAGCTCTTATGCGGCTCGAAGTTACACAAGTAAATTTAGCTGAATTAAAAAATCCGCTTCCCGTGAAAACAAAAAGCCCAACACTTAGAACGTGTCATCTTATCCACACGAATTCAAACACCAGCCTCAGTCTGAGATCTACAATCACCAAACCTCTGCTGCTGCTTTCTGGTTATTTCTGGAAAGTGCCTCAGCAGGAGCCCTATAGCATACAGCAACTGAACTGCTGAGTACCACCCACCGAGTCTCCTCTGATTCAATCAAGCAGACCGTTTGGCATTGGCTCCTGCCTCATGCACCTCAAACCTTCACCTTGTGAGTCAATTTGAACAGCTTTGATAACCTAATGTTTAAATGACTGGAGAAAAAAAAACAAAAAAGACAAAAACCTGATTAAAAGGTGGAAAATGTCAAAAGAATACAATCAGACTAGATTGTACTGATGAAAAGCATAAATCACAAGTAAAACCACAAAATATATTTTGTTCTGACTGGACATATGGACAATAAATGCTCATAAAATATGCTGGGATTGAATGAATTTGAGATGAAGTTAGTCAGTAGACACTCAATGTTTCTTGATCAGCTGCATATCACAAAACTTCTGCAAATTTAAATGAGCTAAAATAAAACAAACAGCAGATGAAATAACAGTTTCGTTTTTCATGTTATACCATATTAACCAATCATATGTCATGACTTCTACATTTAACCGGAATTTATTAGTTGGTGCAAGTAAGCTAATCATTCATTTATAGTGACGTTGTGTTCATGATTAGCTGTATGCGGCACTTCTTCATTCCTTCCTTTCTTATCTATGACAGTCAGGACTCCTATGTGACCTCTGACCTTGTTTTTTTTCACCACTATCGTCTGTGTCAGGCTGCAGGTCTGATTGGCAGGGAAAATTTTAATTTTTGACAGTGTATTTGGTATAAAAGCCCAACAGTCTTTAGCGATTTGCACACAAAGTGATGTCACAGTGGCGATGAACTCGCTAAGCCTCTGAGGAAACGTAGTGCCAGTTTCAACTTGATGTAATCTTACTGGTTTTACCTGAACTTCATTGGTCTCCACCATTAGAAAATAGGATAAATCCAACAAAGAAATCGGAATGAGATTTGTTGACCAGATTTGTATTCATCCACACAGAATGAACAATACTATACAAAACAAACAAACAAACAAAAAAGCTCCTTTGGTTGACGTAATCAATGACATCATGAACCCATGCAAACAGGAAGTGCCAATCTTTCCATACACTTGTAGACGTAGGACCTGAATAAAGGGACAAACAACAGTGAGCGTGACTAAAACAAAACATTAACAGATGTAATTCACCACACATT